AATCTTTGTTCTCAGTGATGAATTTTGTTAAGTCTCCTAATAGGAGTAGCCTGACGGATGAAAGTAGTAGCTCGTGCATATCTCTGAAGGTCACTGAAATATAAACCGGATGTAAAATCTGTCATCAGTGATGCAGCAGCAAAAGTCCCATTAATATCAAACGGAGTCATAAAGTTTTCTGTCAGACTATCAGTGTACATGTATACATTAAAAAATAAATGTATTTTTCATCATCATATACTGTGTTTTTGTCGCTCGAATGAATTTTATTATTTCTTCAAGGTTCTCCATACGTACACCTTAAGAAATATCAAGTAGGCATAACATGTTCTCAAAAAATTAGGGTTGGCACCCAGAAGAATTTTGAGTCAGAGATTTTGCAGGTTTTGGCACGCACTCACAAAAAGGTTGCCCACCCCTGGTATAGCAGATGATCAGTGGGCTTTGGGAAGTAATACATGATAAACCCTTCAAAGCCACATCTAGCTGTGAACATAAAAAACTCTCACATGTGGTGCAGGTTTTGATGTGGAGACCCAACTGTATCTGTCCTGGAGCTCCTTAAGAAGATCTACTATAGCCCAAGCTGGTTTGGTTCAGTGGATAGAGCAACGGCCTGCGGACAGAAGGGTCCTGGGTTCGATTGCAATTAAGGGCATATGCCTGGTCTCTGGGCTCGATCCCCAGTAGGGGGCATGCAGGAGGCAGCCAATCAATGATTCTCTCTCATCATTGATGTTTCTCTCTCTCCCTTTCTCTCTGAAGTCAATAAAAATATTATTAAAAGGAAGATCTGCTATATACGAGTGCTAGAGATTTAAATGGATCAAATTCCATTATAAAAATAAGGTGGGCTGTTTCCAATAAGGTGGAATTTTAATCAACTAGACCTTCCTAGCACTAGATTGAGAAAAACTAGTGCAGCGGTTCTCAACCTGTGGGTCGCGACCCATTTGGCGGTCGAACGACCCTTTCACAGGGGTCGCGTAAGATCATCCTGTGATATTTACATTATGATTCATAACAGTAGCAACGTTACAATTATGAAGTAGCAACGAAAATAATTTTATGGTTGGGTCACAACATGAGGAACTGTATTTAAAGGGCCAGAAGGTTGAGAACCACTGAACTAGTGTATCTCCTTTCCCATACAGACCACAGGGAATGTGGCTAGGTCAGTTTCCTTCCAGATTCATGCTGCCAACAACTCAGTTACATTAATATGATGATAATTCTATTGTACACTTGCTTAATAATATACACTGAGTGGCCATATTATTATGACCACCTGACGTTGGTAGGAAAATTAGCTATAATTTCGTGCTGAAGTTGCTAGAGGGCCAGACCATTATAAATAGGGAAGCAGGTTGTTTACCACAACAGTAGAA